TGCAGCAAGATCATGTTGTAGGTCTTTGGAGCTGGTCTGTGGGTTGAGTTTGACTGTTCTCACCATCCTTCACCTCTGCTTATCTGAGATTTTTCTTGGCCTGCCACTACGGGCCTTAACTAGAACTGTGCCTGTGGTCTTCCATTTCCTCACTATGTTCCTCACAGTGGAAACTGACAGCTGAAATCTCTGAGCTAGCTTTTTGTATGCTTCCCCTAAACTATGATGTTGAGCAATCTTTTCAGGTCATTTGACAGTTGTTTTGAGGCTCCCATGTTGCCAGTCTTCAGAGAAGATGCAAAGGGGAGAACAACTCTCAACTGGCCACCTTAAATACTCTTTCTCATGATTGGCTTCACCTGTGTATGTAGGTCAAGGGTCAATGAGCTTACCAAACAAATTTTGTGTTCCAATAATTAGTGCTACATGTATTCGAATCAATAAAACAACAAGGGTGCCCAAGTTTATGCACCTGCCTACTTTTGTTTAAGTAATTATTGCACACTTTCTAAAAATCCTATAAACTCCATTTCACTTCTTAAATATCACTGTTTGTTTGCTCTGTATTGCCCTCTAACCTTGAGGTGGTAGCCAGTCACATGTCAGGGTGGGCTCCTGTAGACCACGCTGAATGTGTTCATATTAGATTCTCTCAGTAGTTTTTATAGTCAAGACCCACTCGACCTGGACCAAATCAGAGATTTTGTCATGTCTGTCTGTTTCTGTGTTTTCCTGTGTTCTTTGTGGGGTAATCATGGGATCACACTCACCTGTTGTTAATTAGCTTCACGTGTGTCACCTGGTGTTCCCTGTGTATATATACCCCTCTCCCTCACTCTGTCGTGGTGGGATCATTGTGATTGTGGTTGTGTGTGTTTGATCATTGTGACTGTGTTAGATCTTCGTGTTCGTGAGTTTCCTACTCTGTGTTTCCGCGTGTTCCGTGTTTCTGCGTTTTCCTCGTGTTCCTCGAGAGTTCCATGCCTGTTAGTTCTTCGTGTTTTGTTAATTTGGACTTTGTTAATAAACTTCCTGCACCAGAAAGAGTCTCTCCAGTACTGCATTTGGGTCCTGCCAGCTCCCTGCGATGCCCGTACCTGACAGAATGATCCAACCACGACTGGACCCAGCGTACTGGGAGGCTCTCCTGGCGGATTTCGGTGCCACGCAGCGAGAATGGGAGAGTGTGAAGGCACAGTTGAGCGCTCTGCA